GGAGTGTTCTCCAAAGCATTTACATCTGATGTACTTTATATTCCTATAGAACACTTGTAAATGCTTTAGAGAACTCTCCTATCTGATTTGCTCTGTGTTCCTATAGAAAACTACTGTTTTGTGTGTTGAAGATTTTACTTGTCTTAAGTGCCTCTATAACACTTGCTGCCTAATATGCTGTGGATAACAGTTATTGCGTTAGATGGAAGGGAAGCGTATGCAACTGGACGAATAGGACAGTCTTCTCTAGCCTAAATAGTCAGTGCAACATTTTCAACTTCATTCTAACCAACACCAGGTCTTTTATACATATATTGCTCCCACTTCTCTTTAGTGTTTCTCCTTCTTTTGCCATTCATTTATCAATATCTGGTCGCAATTTTAGAGCATCGACAATCCTTTAAAATCCTTCAGATAAAATTAATATAACCTTTGTATAAGAATATATAAATCTAATACAGCAACAGAGGAGTGAAAAATATATAAAATCTTTCAAATTTTATATATATTTTTTTCTTTTTTTTTGCGATAATTCCGGTTTTCTCGACAAATCATTCCTATTTTGTAGTTTAGTTACGGTTCATTTCCTTAGAATAAGATAAAAATATACAATAAATCCATTTAAAAAAAAGAGGAAAAAAATAGTTATTTATTTAGAAATTTCGTACGTTTTTTTTTCATAGGTTAATAAGAGAAATAAATGTGGAAAAATACCATAACCTAGCATTAACATCATAGAATTAAAGTGCATAAATAAATCTCTAAAAATAATTATTTATAATTAGAAAATTATAATTTTTTTTTAATACAAAATCAATGAGGAATTTTATAAATAAGAACACCAATAAGAAGAATTGAACTAATATACAGGTCACTCGATATATCACACAATTCTTGTTATGTCAATGCACTCCATATAACACTATCCTGGACAAGATTCATCATAATTTTTCAAGTATTGTCATTAAAAAATTATATATATATATATATAAAAAATAAGTAGATAAAATATATAAAATAAATTGTTAAGGCTTCATTGTCATATGTTTGAAGAACGACTTTATTTTGATTATAATAAAGGGGGGAAAAAAAGAAACACAGGTTAAAGATAATGCAACTTTTCTAGAACCAGTTCTTGAAAAAATTCTTGCATTACGTGACTTGAAAACAGAAACGTTTCCAATTAATCTCTTCTCTAGATGAATGGATAATTATGACCTCTCTGTCTAAAGTACATTTACATAAGATAATAAAACCTGATACATAAACTCACTTTAATAAAGAAAAATCATAAAAGATACAGACACTAAAACACAGTACTTCTTTGGCTTTTTATCATTGGGAAAGTAAGGGGTATCAAGTGTATTCTAAGTATAAAAAGTCACCAGTTATACCAGGGTTTCCCATGAGAAAATTTCTCTTATTAAAAGCAATACATTAACACTTTTCACTTGAATTATTTAGAGTGAATAAAGAAATGGATTCGGAATAAATCCGGGTCTAGGGTGTTTCCAGGATACTATTTCTTCTTGTCTGTGTTACTGACCTGAATAAAAATACCGGGTGTATTGTCAATTGATGATATAACTGTATACACTTTTTTTTTTTTTTCTCTTGTTAGAATGACACAAATATCAATAGGATTCACGTGTTTTGATGTGTGTTATGACTCGTTAATATCCTATTATGTTCTTGGAATGTTGAACTTTCCGAAATTTCTAAAGATTTTAATCGTTTTCCGTGATGAAATTTGGTGTAGAAAATAATTTAAATGTTATCGTAGCTTCTTCCCTTGTAGGTTTGCTCACACTGGAAGCAGCCGGATGGCGTGGGATCTTGCCAGACACATCAGGATCCTCGCGAAAATTTCTGATGTCCATTTGCACTTCAGAAATTTTCGTGAGGAACGTATAGGGCACAATCCCGCACTACACGGTTGCATCTTGTGCGAGAAAAAGGCCCTCTTAGTACCTGCATGAGGATCTAACAAGTAAGTGCAAGTGGACATAGATCCTCGTGTAGGTACTAAGAGGGCCTTTTTCACGCACAAGATGCAACCGGATAGTGAGGGATCGTGCCCTATACATTCCTCACGAAAATTTCTGATGTCCTCCTGCACTAAAAGGATCTTCTACTCGCACTGGAGCTATTCAGGGGTGCAGGATAGTACCCGACAAATCCGGATCCTCGCGAAAATTTCTGATGTCCTCTCACATTAAAGTCCTCGTGCAGTTACTAAGAGGGCCTTCTGCTCGCCTTCGCCTTGGAGCCAGCTATTTAGTGGCCCTCGTGCAGTTACTAAGAGGGCCTTCTGCTCGCCTTCGCCTTGGAGCTAGCTATTTAGTGGCCTGATTCTCTCGAAAATGTCCGAAATCTTCACCGATTCGCCATTTAATGTTATTCATCGTGACATTTCTAAATTATTATTTAATATTTAAAGAATTTACTTGTTTTTTTTAATCTTTCCTTTAGTATTTTATAAGTAATACAACCGATCTTTATGCATTTATGGATAACAAAACAGTAACCTTTATAGAAAAAACAAGCATAATTTCACACATCCGTAACTCTTAAAATTATAATGTTATACACTTTGTCAACTGTTTCAAGAAGTTAAAATATTTATTCAGCTTCGTTTCCTTCTTTTTATTCACTAAAAAAAGGGTTGTTTTTTATTAAAAAAAATTGATATTTTATTGTAATTTTTTTTGTAATTCTATTCTAATTTTCTCAATTTAAACCTAAAACCACGTAATATTTTCATGAAATATTTTGCTTTATATACAACAACACTCGTGATCAGTAGCTGTTTAAAGCATTCAGGTTTTGTCTAGGGCCTCGTGTAGGTAATTACAGACCTGAGAGCAGCACAAATAGGCTATATCCAGTACTCAAAAACTCTATACTATATCTTGTGTAATAACAAGTAGGGTATGATACAAATTTACATTATATAAATTTACATAAAAGGGCCTGGAAAGTTTATCAGGGCATCACTTTATCATGGGATAAGTACTGTTTATGCCAGTATTTTTTAAAATGCTTCCAAAAGGTCGTTATATTTAAAATTATACGATTATACTTAAGCAATTATTGAAGAAATTTAACATAATTACGGTAAAAAAACAATATATATTCAATACAATGTAAATAGTAGAGGGAGAATAACATAAAATAAACACTTGTAAATATGGTTGCTGATAAGAATACTAAATCAACATAACGACAATAAACAGGATTTTTCACTAAACTCTCAACACTGGATAGTTACCAGACTAATTTAATGGCTAGAAACTTAAAATGTCACTATTTAGAAAGGTTATTTTATTTATAATGTAAATACAGGATTTTAATATTCGTTTACCTATAACAGGTCTTAAAATAATTCATTTCTTTTGACACTTTTACAACTATTAAATCTTTTTAAGCTCATTTGTATTCAATTTCCATCGGATATATTTATGTTAGCAACTGTTTTCTTTCTGTATCCTCATCCTGATCAACTGTATAGGAAGGTAAGAGTTGTATCACATTGTACAGATGGATAAGAGACTGTTCTCATTTGTTTAATATAAGATTATAAGTCTTAAAAACAATTAATTTATTCTGTTTACGTAGAGCGACGTCGTCTAACATAAACCACTTTTACATACTTTATACACATTATTTAGAAGGATAAAGATGTTATTTAAAGATTAAATATAATACAAGATACAAGAAACACTAAATAGAATACAGATCTTATCTGATTTATACCCATTGCTTCAGTTCACTTACTAACAAATCTTATTGCAAACTCATAAGCAATAGGCAAATATAAACGAGCAATAATCCCTCTTTCTTATCACGTTTTCTACTTGAGCACCTTTGAAGCACTTAACAGCTAATTGTTTTTTTACATACGTCTGGATCCTTGAAGTTATGCATTCAACTCTCATAGAATAAATTAATTGTTTTTAAGACATACAGGCTATTATATTATGCAAATATTATACAATACAGTCAACCACTATAACACTGTTGATTTTTCCGTTTTATATGAATTCCATGTTGTACGAGTCACTTAGATTTTACAAATACGTGTGCCGGGCTGTGAACGGCTTACGTATTTGTAAAATCTAAGTGACTCGTACAACATGGAATTCATATAAAACGGAAAAATCAACAGTGTTATAGGGGGTCGACATGCACACTCGAGATAGCACAACATACTTTTGTGCCATCTGGTGAAGACAATGTAAACAAAGAAACGAACTGTTCTCGTTATTTTTAAATATGCATTCGTTTCGTCAGAATGGTGTACTGTTTACGTCACTTTGACGTCAATTTTTAATTGTTTCCTCGGTATTTTACGTTAATCTGACATTATTTTTATATTTAACATTTAAAAAATTCGGTAATTTTTAATTTCAATTAACATAATTTTACTTTAATTAACAAGATTTTAATTTCTTTAATAATATTCTTTATTATTTTGCTAAATTAATTAATAAATGAAAAAAATGGCTGTGTAGAATTAAATCCTTAAATTTTTTAAATTTATTTTAAAGAATAATAATCACAAATTCATTGTTTATTTATCGTTTTTAAAATTTTGCAATATAATTTCGATAAATGTTCCATACAAGATTCTACTTGTCGATCACTCTACTTCTTTCGATTGCGGTGTTTAGCCCCATATTTCTATACATTCCAGCTTTATATAGACGACTGCTGAATATCTGGCCCAAAGGTTTGTAAATTTGGGGCATGGTGTGAGTAACTGGAGGCAAACTTCCATATGCACTGTTACTAGTCACGAACATGGGGTGTTGCTGCTTCTGTGAACGTCCATAACCTTCGAACCAGTCTGGATTGTTAAATCGCTTCGGTATATCTTTAACATTGTACAGATCTTCAGTTTTTGTAGCATTTCCTTCTGTTCTCCACGCGAGTTTGGAAGGAAGCTTCCAGTTGAAACGATTCACCATATCCTCCTGAACGTCCTCTGAAGGAACTGTGGTCCCATTAACTTCACTGTCGTTGCTCATGATGATTCTTTTAGTGTTCGAATCTTATAAAATTTTGAATTATATTCTAATATTCTATTTCTTTTTTTCGACAGTTTGTTCCGTTCTGAAGATAAATCCGAAACCGTGTTCCAATGCGTTAGGTTCAAAAGGAACTTGCATGTTTGTATGGGACTGCATTAAAACGGATGGTAAACATCTAGGAACGTGCGTTGATGGATTTTTATTTGGAAGCTGTTGCGAATATAATACGAAAAATACAAATGAAACATCGATAAATTCGGTTACAACTACGTCAACCGTTAGCCAGAATAACAAACTGGAAGAAGCTAAACCTACAGAAATTATCGCCATCCCTCCGATAGCTATCACTTCGGCTCCTTTAATAATTAGCCAAACTAAACCTTCATTAAACACGAGACAACCTTTAGGAACCTCCACGAAAACCACACAAACTACAAGCCTGAGAAACACGGATACCACTACAGTTCCTTCTACATCTACTTCTGAAAAACTCCCCATTGCAACGAGGAGCCCTGAAAGTAGGGAAGAAGGTAAGTTAGAGAACAGAACAATTTAACTTGAAAACAAGAGAATAAACTAAAAAAAGAAAAAAAAATTAATTTTGCTTTTGTAGAATGTGGCATTTCTCCGGCTCACCATAAGAGCAAAGTGGTTGGAGGAACGAATGCAGCTTTTGGTGCGTGGCCATGGCAAGTAAGAAGGCAAATGCGTTTTTCTCTATCTTGACTCGAAACATTTCGTAATAAATAATTTATAATATATTAATTTAGGCATCTGTGAGACGAACATCTTTCTTCGGATTTTCTAGTACGCATAGATGCGGAGGTGCCATCATAAATCGACAATGGATAGCCACAGCTGGCCATTGTGTAGACGAGTAAGAAGTCATCTACATCTACATCATCATTACAATTAAAAAAAATTACAATTAATTTACTTTTTTTATATTGCCACCTATAGTTTGCTGCTGCCACAAATTAGAATTCGAGTTGGTGAATACGATTTTGCCAGCGTGATGGAGCCATACCCTTATATAGAAAGGGGAGTGAAGAAGAAAGTAGTCCATCCTCGTTACAATTTTTTCACGTATGAGAATGATTTAGCTCTTGTGAAGCTCGAAGCACCCTTGGATCGACTTCCACACATAGCAACAATTTGTTTACCATCAGACACTGAAAAAGATCTCATAGGAAGGAATGCAACTGTCACTGGATGGGGAAGATTAAGCGAGGGTAAGATTGTCTGTCTACTTATTGTGTTGCAATTAGATATAAGGGCGATATAATTCTTAAATAATTATAATTTACTAATTTTAGGTGGTGTATTGCCCTCTATTCTTCAAGAAGTTCAGGTTCCTGTCATAAGTAATGAAAAATGTAAAAATATGTTTTTGAAAGCGGGTAGACACGAATATATACCTGAAATTTTTATGTGTGCAGGGTTCGAAGATGGAGGAAGAGACTCTTGTCAGGTATTGTCAATAAGGATTTTAATCGAAATATATAATTTGAAATACGCCATTGTTTAGAAAGCATTTGATGATTTAAGAAGTAAAATTACTGAAAAACTTCCTTAACTTTTCGAGATTCTCATTAATGATACTCATTTTAAACAAGATCATATTTTTAAATTAAACTTTTAATGATCCTATTGGTTAATCAATTATAACAGAGAAACAATATTGATATAACAATAATAAAGTGATATTCTCAGTCCTGTAGACATTGAGAGCCTCTTTTTATATCTGCCATTCGTTTGATAGATCCACAATACATTTGGTTTCATGATATAAAACACCCCAACACATGGGCAAACTGCCAAGGAAAGGAATCTCCCGCGAGGACTTTCTAACGGAAACTGGCTCTCTTTTGGTGTAGCACACACGAAGAAATTTGGAGTTTGAAAATCACGTGGTTGGGTGATAACAATCGCCCAACTACGTGACTTTCAAACTTCCAATATAAACTCATGGCGACTTTCAAACTCCTATTATTGTTTTTTGCCCGCTCTGTGGGCACTAACAATGCATTTTTCCCATCTTAATCCCATTGAACCCATCGTGGATTCGGCTACAGACCGATCGGGTGAAGGTTGGATCCGATATATCCATGAAAATTCCTAGAGGTTTGCCCGCATTCGATCCCGGATCTATCAGAATATACTGCCATCACATTATTATTGTTTTATCGGTGTTGGATATCACGTGGTTATTATATGTTACACATCTCATTTCTTCTAATAGAATTAAAGAATATAAATTAAAACTTTGGGTATATCTAGGAACCTACTTGGATAATCACAGAATTTTATAACTGTATTGCAATATCTATTTCTCGAAAAATAATTGACAAAATTATCCATTATCTTGTATCTTTGAAATCCTCACGCCAAGGATTTTCTGAAGCAAATTTCTAAAATCTTAATTGTTCTTGTACATAATCATTACATTATTATTTTTTTTTAAGGGAGATTCTGGTGGTCCACTACAAATGCAAGGAGAAGATGGAAGATGGTTCCTAGCTGGGATTATATCGTGGGGAATCGGTTGTGCAGAACCAAATATGCCAGGAGTTTGTACGAGGATATCGGTGTTCAAAGATTGGATATTGCAAAACATCAGCTAATACAGGAATTATAAATAATTTTTCATGTATAAACAGCACAGTTCGAAGGACAGCATGGATGATAGTTTGAGAAGATTAAAACACTCTGTGTGCCAAAATGAGAGGCAGGAATTTTATGAATGTGAGTCAAAACACAAGTATTGAAGATTAAATTATTACAAAGAACTCGAGAAAAAGTGTGAGAAGAGACGAACGAACTTTACATACCAACACGAATGAATAGTTACTGATCAAAATTATGAATTTGTATATTGAAAATGTACAGCACATCATATACAACAGCTATATATACATACGTACATATATATATATATATCTGTACACTAACACTTTCTATAGCAGAAAGCCTAAACATTGTGATGTCACTAACAGTAGTCAATCAGTTCTCCAATTTGTGCTCAGGAGTATATACTAAACATGGGCCCATGTAAATATGCACCGTACATATATATATATATATATATACACTAACACTTTCTATAGCAGAAAGCCTAAACATTGTGATGTCACTAACAGTAGTCAATCAGTTCTCCAATTTGTGGAAAGGTTAGAGATATTATTAAGAATGTGATGAGATTTATTACTTGTTTTTTATTCAGGGCTGTGGAGTCAGTAGATTTTTTTCACGATGATTCCAACCAGGGGCAGACTTGTTAATTAACAAAGTAGGCCTGAAAATTCTGACATAATCACATGATCTTGAAATCTAAGCTTCAATAAATATAGTTCTAATAAAGATAGAACATAGAAACTTTTTATTCCAAAGCTAAAATACTCCTCTAAGTAATGACATAGTCAATATATAAATATGTATTTTATAATTTTTACTTTTCCGGCTGTTATATAACAGAGGAAAAGTGTAGTGATTGATCAAAAAATGATCCCACCCCAAATTTTTGCATTTTTGGAGTCAGGACACCNATACCATTTTCTTTTTTAATTATAATAATTTATAAAAACAACAAATTTTATTTAAAACTTTATACAAGACTGAATTGAGGCCATATTGCAAATAAACTATTTTAAAAACATTCATAAAAAATGTAAGTATTAGATTTTTGGCTTTCTGTTAATATATAATTTTATATTAAAAAATTATTTAAGTATCCCAAAGATATAAGTAAAGCATTTTCATAAGTCTTTTCAGTCTTGAATCTTCATATCCACACTGTTGACTTTTGGTAGAGTGGATGCTTCATAGAAGAAATTCATTATATTATCATAAATAAATGTTATTTGAAATTCATTTAATGTCTACATTTTGGCCTTTATTATTATTGCACTCGAGGCACGAAGAGGCAATTAACACATAATTTTTGTGCGCTCAAAGCTTTACAATGGCATTTTAGATCACCTCTTACAACAAGGCATTTAAATATCATCACATAGTTTTAAGCTTTAGTAACTTCGTGAATCCAATCTAAGTAGTTTGTAACTCTAGTATACACACCGGGCTGTTCCTTTTCTCCACATTTACTACCAAAAGACACGATTCCGACTAGTATCCATCTCCTACTGTTGTTTGGAACCATCAGAGGACCTCCAGAATCTCCCTGAGACCAGACACGATTTTTAAGACTTTTAAACACGATTTAAATGCTAATACTATTTAAATAAATTAGACACTAACCTGGCAAGCATCCTTAAGTCCTTCGTGGTAACCAGCACATAACATACCTTTTGTAATTTTCTGCACATACCTCTTCTGACAGTCCACATTATTCCAGATTGGAACGGACACTTGCTGCAATGTTTCTGCGTTTCTTCCACCTTAAAATTTGCATAAAATTACACACGTGCTTGATATTTAAACCTCTCCATACTCTCCATGAAGCACTCACCATAAGATATCACGCCCCATCCCAAAACGGTAGCCATGTATCCTTCTAAATTGTTGTCTGCCATTTTGATAGAGGGCAAGCAAACTGGAGATATATCTATGTTGTATTTAACTTCGGATGCTAATTGGATAATTCCTATGTCATTATAGAATCCGTGCCTCATAAACTTAGCATGAGGTATAGTTTTTGTTACGTAAACGTCTATAGTATTCTTCCTATCGTAGTGATTGTATATCCTATGAGCGGCTAACCTGACAATTATAGAGCGTGGGTGATATCTACAACAAATAAGCAGTGATTTATGTAAAAACATACAAAAAAATACTTCAAAAATTTACATAATTTACACTTACTTCCGCCCACTCTTATGCACCAAGCAGTGAGCTGCCGTAATCACATGACGATTGTCAATTAAAGTACCACCGCACCAATATTCCCTACCACGATGGGTTATAAGGTATATAGCAGCCTGTGCAATGTACAGTATAAAATATTAATATCTAGATTAAAAATTTACTTATTTTTTTTTAAATACACAAGTATAAAACAACAAAGCAACATTTCAACATGAAATATTCAAAGATTCTTTCAATAACCATGAAAAAATTTCGAGAAACTATTAAGAAGATTCAAAGAAATATAGCCAAACCTCGATATAACGCACTGTAAATAGAGCCAGCCGACGGTCAGATGACCTAAGCGGTTAAGGCATTAGCCTACTGTTCTTAGGGACCCAGGTTCGAATCCGTGCGAAATCCATGGAAATTTTTCGGGGCGAATCTGTACTGCACACGTCGGACACCATCCCTTACCTCCCAGGCTTCTGGCCTAACCCAAAATGAGCATGATTAGAAAAGCCCTCTTAAGGCCAGTAACGGTGTGGATGAAACCACTGAACACTGAAGGTGGCTGGTTTATGCCTCACCAATTGGCCGAGTGTTTTCTCGTGTCTAACGCCTAATTAGGGGTTATGGGTTATTCTCCATAGAAAAAGTCCACCCGGGAGTCATTCTCACATGGTAAATCGTCCATTTGTTGCGTTGCCTTGCGTTAAGGGCATTGTAGATCATCGAAGTTTAAACCAAGTTCAAACTCGGTTTAGACTTCGATACTAGACATAATCCTTATTGTTTGAAAATAATTCGTCCGTCAAAGGTAGCCTTGTTTAGGGGTGCGCTATATCGAGGTTTGGCATTACTTTAAATATTAAACCCCTATATAAACTATATATACCTAGATACAGTTAAACATCTACGTGTATATTAGTTTGTTAGGCCTATAAATTACATACGGTTAATTGTCTCTTAGATGTAATGCCCCCATCAGTAGTATACTGATGGGGGCATTACATCTAAGAGACAATTAACCGTATGTAATTAACCGTGTTACATGTAAGAGACAATTAACCGTATGGCATTACATCTAAGATGACAATTAACCGTGTAACAATAATTAGTTAGGCCCTACAACAATTCAAACGAGTAGTATTTTAAATAGAAATGTAAAACAATATTAATTTTATAATACATAAATTGTATACGAAGTACATTACATGATCAGGGCCCCTCGAATTTTTTGGGCCACTTACCTTGCTGGGGCCTAATTTATTAATTACAAACAATACAGAGTTAAATAATAAAATTTAACAATAAATAAAGGTTTTTTTTAATACACAAAATATGCAATTAAATGAATCATTTGCAAGAAATAGGGCCTGATCTATACGTAAACTAAACACAGAGGCCTCACTCTACCAGGTTACAGCTTAGTGGAGAACGAAGGGCCCTTCATACGTTATAATTTAGATCTTACAAATTTAAATCTCGTCTTATTTTAAGTCCCCCATATGTATATGACGCGGGAAACGGGCCTTTTGAATCCCCTTTTGTAGGGCCTATAAATCTCGTATACATCTCATCGATTGTCGTAACGATGCAGCAATTTTTAAGAATATTAAAACTTTATTTATTAATTAATAATAAAAATAAAAATAATATTTACCATCCAAGGCCAATTACCAGCTTCGGATTCGAACCCACCTACGATTCTTCCATCCCTTCCGGAATGCCCACAACCTAAATATTCGAATTATTTTCGTAAAAATGAATATTTTTAATTTATTATTATACGCTTTATTTATTTTATATTTTTAAAATTATTTTAAAAAAATAAATAAATAAATAAAGTTTACAATAAAAGTATTGCTTACAGTATAAAAATAGATTAAAATACATTCAAGTACAGTATAAAACACAATAGTAAAATATTTACGCTGTAAATGTGTAAAAACCTTCACTTATAATATAAAATACATTCGAACTTTATACTGTAATCGAAGATTTTTATAGTATTTAGAGTACTGTACAGTACAAAACAGTGTAAAGTATTTACACTGTTTAATAAAACAGTGTAAATACTGTGTAAAGTATAAAATAGTGTAAAGTATTTACACTGTTTTATACTTTACTGTAAGTATTTTAATCTATTTTTACAATGTAAACAATAACTTTCCTGTATTTTCATATTAAACATAATTTTTCAATAAAATATAGGCCTATTAGTGTATTTTACTGTATTTTACAGTATAAAACTATTCACAGTTATTTACATTAAAAAAACAGTGAAAAACACTTCGTACGATTGTACGATAAATTTTTTCATAACATTTACTGTATTTTACGATACATTACTGCATATTGCTTTGTGTATTGTACTGTACATATTTCCATTGTATTTACTACAACTTAGTTCTATTTTACTGTATTTGTTCTAATCTACTGTATTTTACTGTAATATAATTTTTTACACAGTAATTTACTTAATACATCTAAATAATTACCTCTAGTCGACTCGGCGATAATGGGTTGTTTAAACAATGACAAATCGCTTAAGGTTTCATTTACAGCTTCAGTGGTCGTGTCAATAGTAGTTACAGTAGTTGAAGTAGTCTCAACGTCAGTAGGCCAGATAACTGTAGTAGAGGGTAAACTAGACGTAAAATTATCATAAGTAATGGTCGTAGTAGTAATTGGATCCAATTTATCAGTAGTAGTTGCAGTAGCAACCGTCGAAGTCACGTCCTATAAAAGATCGTGGGGTGTGAGTTGGTTAGTTTAAAAAGGCTGATTTTACTGTTTACTCACCGGAATAACTGGACAGCAAACACCAGGCATGGAAAAAGGCCTGAAACATACAGACTGACGGAGTTTATTCAGATCAAAAATCAGGTATATGCACTGAGTAACCACGCTGCAAACACCAGGTAAACCATCGGGTGTCCTACACTGATACGAACTTTGAAACGGTCGTAACATGGTGTTTAATACCCGGTTCCTCCGATCTCCAAGAGAAAAATCAAAGATGATAATCAGTTAAGGGTGAAGATGGGCTCAAAATAAAGATTTGGTCAAGAGAAATTACATAGTTTACTCACTTGTGTGTTGCAATCTTCCCTGAGAAAACAGTAAAAATAGAAAAAGTACGAGGAGGTTCCATTCTTTTCTCCTACAAAATTAAAAAAAAAAACAGAAATTCTTATAGAAAATTAGTAATTTAGCTTTATTTATGGGTAAATTTAAGATTAAAACGTAAATTAATCTGCACAATTTCTTAAAAACAGGAAGAAATGGTTGGTTTATAAATTTCCCTTTCTATTATCTTAAACTATTCTTTGTTTTTCTGTTCTATTCGACAATTAATTTTTTTTGTTGTTTTTTTTTTTTGTAAATTGAAGAAACTAGGTAAAGAAAGAAATCAGTCGTTGACCGTAACAGTTGCACTACAAAATCTATTATCTGATTTTCCGCCCATCAAACATACCTAAAAAAAAAAAAAGTGGACTCTGAACAAAAAAGGCATCATTTCTCTGGACTTGACCTTCTAGAATATTTTAAAATCTACATAAAATGAGTACAGCAGCTAGGTTATAAACAATCCTACGCACGAACCATCCATAAAATATAACTCGCCCCCATTGGAAGCGCGTTATTCAAGAATTTCGATACGTGAAGTTTAAACGGTTATTTCCTCTAAATTTACCGGAATTTTAGCCAGTTTTCAAGAATATCGTAGGAGCAAGTTTCCGTCTACGTTACAGTAATCATTCAGGCTACAAGAAGTAATTTTATTACGCGTTAAGCGTCCAAAACTTAACAATAGACCTCAAGGTTGCGCGCCTCCTTGACAATACAGCGCTTAAAAGTAAAAAAATAGAATGTTTTATTGATAATAATTCGTTTTTAAGTAATATTCTTTACGATAAGCTAAAGACTGCAAAATATTTAATTTAAAAAAAAAGGAAAAAAAAGCAAATTGAGTGATATTCATCGCTAACCATCTCTACCTCTCTCGTGACCCAAAACGAATCCCTCCAGGCAAATCGGCAATTCGAGCTTATCAAGTAGCAAATCATCATCAGTAAACTTTAATTTTGCAACAAAATCAATTTAAATAAATCTGCAACTAAACTATACAAGTGTCAAAAGTTAACCCGGATCCTATTATGGACTTTGCTTATCTGAAGTGCATCAGTGCCAATTAATCTTTCAATTTAATCTCGATTTGTTAACGCACTGAAACGTTTTATTTACTTGGCTCTAATCACCTTCTATAGAATTAGTGAGAAGGGGTCTTGGGGTCAACAAAACTCTATGGAAATAAGCTATGTACTGTACGTGCCCCAAAGAAATGTGGCAGAAAAGTAGAGAATATTTTTAAAAATAGAAGAGAAAATTTATTTTACTTTAAAAAAAAAAATAATAAAAATAGTAAGAAAACACAGTATTGTGTTTGTCTTCCTCGTTTTTAACCCGTAATGTTCCAATTATTAAGTATTCTTGTCAGTTCTTGAACATCACAAATTTACAGGTTTGGTGGCCTTGAACGTTACTGAATTATTCTGTATTCTATTATTTCGAATGTAATAAGGATAAAAATAACAGATAAAGGGACCGTCCATTAACTGCATGTACAGTTTTTTAGCACCCTTTCCCTCCTCCTGTTGTGTACAGTGAGATACTTCCAGCAAACCCTTGTTCTGTACTGTACTGTACTTCTAGCAAACATCCTCCCCTTTGAACAAATTCGTACAATAGTCCACGGACCCCCTGACATTTAAGAAATGACTAAAAAGTTTTGTAAATACTATTCACGTGATTAGTAAATAGGACTTACAAAAACAAATTCGTATGCCACACTAAAAAAAAAAGCATACGTAGACAATGCCTCGATCCCTCCCTCTGTACTTTTTGCAACCCTTTTAAATTGTACACGTAATTAACGAAATGTATATATAATATACGTATTTAAATTAGATAAGGAACTGTAACAAATAATTGCTGCATAAGATAAAAATTTTATTACACGAAAACGCAGTAGTAAGCAGTATTATGCATAAGCAAACCATTATATAAGATCCCTCATATATAAGGATTTAGCATTACACAAGGATGACCATCCAAAAATACAGCATCAGACAAAGAACCACTATACACGTGGGTCCACTAAGTACGATTAGAGAAGTATTTAGGATTAGAATAGACTTATATCGATGCCAATATACAGAGAACCACTATAAGTACCCACTGGGCATAATTAGGCAAGTGTTAAATATGCTAATTGGTAGCCTAAGTATCTACTATAAATAATAGGAAAATTGAACAGTAATCAGCTCAAAACTTTCTTTCAAAGACAAAGCTCGCATACTGATGTAATTATTGTGTAATATAAATGGTAGAACTGCTAAATTAATCAATTAAAAATGTTTACTTACATGTTAACAGTTATACATGGGGCCCTATAAGTCCAGATAGTTATAATATAAGGCCTAATTCCTTGGTTGATGTGTGGTTGTGGCGAACGGAACTGTGTGTGTTTGACACAAATCGTCACAAATATGGGTCGGAAGAATGACCCAGATTTCGCTTGACGTCCAAATCACGAACGAATCAGATAATTTGGGGGGAAAAAATAGAAGTTAAAATTTCCCTTTATAAAATCTCTACGCTTTTCTAACTTCATAATTAAGAAAAAAGCAAAAATAGAAATAACATTGCAATCAAACCATCCGTAATTTGTGTGAAGTCCCCGCGCTTTGCAATAGGGATAAATTCGATCAGGAAATTGAATTTTTAAAAGAAAAATTTAGGGATTTTATCGAGGAAAAATCCCCATATTAGAAATTTCACAGAAAATGTCCTACTCCCTAAATATAAAGAAAAATCCCTATCGTATTCACCCGTCTCGAATTATGCAATCTGGGAGTTACCTTAAAAAACGAACTTTCCCAACAAACCAGGTAAATGCCCTTCCTTATTGGAATTTCCCAGATGAGTTAAAAGTACTTACTGTAATATGGAAATAGGTTACTTTTTGTTTTGAGCCCCCTAAACCTGTTTATATTTATTCGAAAACCCTCGAGCTATACTTAGAGGAAAGTAGATTAAATAAATCTGTAGATCCGTTGTGCCTTTGTCTATATTTTTCACCTTCGTACCCTCAGCTAAGGGGTTTCTTTTTTTCAATAGATTAATCTCGTGATCGAAGAAAATAATAAGAGGCCCCCCAACTATATTTGTCAAAGTTCATTCAACCGTTTACTTCCGAGTAGTATCCTAAATGACATCACGAATTACATCTCTTAACATTTGTTTTTAATAACCCATGAATGAAAAGTCAAAAATCGAAGTTTCTTTCCGAATTTTAAACCCACAATGAGCATAAAAAACTGGAAATCGCATAAGATTTTTAAGTTTTAAACCCATAATGAATATCCCAAATACAACACATCACTCCCAATTTCAGTTTCCCAAACGTAATGGGCACATAATATTTGAAGGATAACTCGAAATTTTTATTGATTTTACTACATTATAGAGGTTATTGACCCATTTTATTAATAAAATCTCATTTTGCATGATACGTTATGGATGTTTATACAAATTACAAAACACTTTTTTTTAAATTGAAATAAAAAAAACTGGTTCATTGACTCGCAAAAAAACGGATGTGCGGTTTTTGTACAGGAAATTAAACAAAAAATATGTATAATATGATTAATAGACATAGGAAACTTTACCTTTTTTTTTTCAGTTTCTAAAACGAATTTCCAAGTAAAATTTGTAATTTGTTCAAATTTAAAATGTCAAATTGGGAACGTTAACAAGAAGACCATCAAGCATTGATTTAATGATAAAAAAGACTAAAGTCGTGAGAAAATAACTAATGAAAAGCATATAGAAACATGAGAATAATAAGATAAACACATAAAGTGACTAAAGGAGCGTATAAACAAAACTTAACCAATTAGTCTAATTATATAATTAGAAGTACAAATAGGAATTGTTACTCATAAAGGGAAGGGAACAAAGGAGAAACAAATATTCTTTAAACTAAGACAAATTAATTACTAACACAGAGAAGAGCAGGAAATAAATGGTTAGCGAATAGAAAAAAAAAATTAAACAAAACAATGGAATAGAGTAAAGGGTGGTTCGTAAGTCGGTTAACCGAGTCTTAATCTACGTACTGTATACATTACACTGCGAATATGGATAAGTGTTTTATCGTAACGTGATTAAGTACTTAAATAAGATAGTTAACTGAGTTTTGAGCCATCCAGTGTAGCCATTATCATACCAAAAGTCGGTTAACTGTTCTTTGTTGTTTTTTTTTTTTTATATGCTCCAAGTACCGTACGTTTAAGAATACGAATCGTTCAACAAACATAGGAAAGTAAGTGAATTGATGTATGAGAAAGCCAAATGGCAAGAGAAAATATGAAAGGACGAGTAAATAGAACATATTAAAATTAATTAATAATTAATGAAACAGATATTAAAAGACAATGGAACAAAGTCTATTCAATATTAAAACGGTGTGCTAAATAAAGCACATAGATGAGAAACTAGGAAGCGTATAGAATATAAAGCGATTAATGATGTAGATAAATACTTTTCGAGCCTTTCCGATTTTGGAGAAGATAAAACACGAAGAGCACAGAAGAGAATTTGAAGTAAATGTGCGAAAAGAACGTTGAGAAATTAAAAGTACAAGGTGGAAAATCAAATTAGGAATCGCTAGTTAGGCCCTTATGACAATGATTAAAGGTCAAGGTCGCGCTTGGCAACATTTCCCACAACAAGCCGTCAACCAATCACAGGTAGAAGGTAAATGTCATTGACCGGCGGAGTCTATGTTTTCCACCTGTCTCCCTCCGTTTGGCGATTATGGAGGAGAAATCTTGATCTCGATGACCCCACAGGCGTTCAATATGGCAATGTGGCAATGTGTGCTGCTACTGTGGTTACTTCGACCGACGGATGGTCAAGGACACAATTCCAGCCAAGAGGCATTATCAGGTAAGACATGTTTCCTTTTTAGAATCCACTTCCTTCAACAAAGGTGCTTTCAACCTCCTCCTTGCTGAGGCGATAGTGAAATCATTCGAGAAAAATGAAAGTAATATCGCCTTTTACTGTGGTATATTCTTGTATTGTAAGCGGACAAATTTCGTTAACGAAATCGACTCCCTCGTTGGTGAAAATTTAAGCCAATTCCGTGGCGAATTTCTTCGGATTTTAAACAATTTTATGATAAAAGATACCATTCTTGATCTGTGGCAAATTCTTTTACCATAAATTTGAATGTATAAAAGGCTTAAAAGTATCAAAAAATGCGCTTAAAATGTAATTTTATCCATTGTTTCAATGGGCGTAAAAATTCCTCCTGAAGTCCCACTATAGGTATTTCTGTCTCGGGTCTTTGCCCTTAACCCATCAGTATCTATTTATGGCATTCTTCAATTTAAAACCATATATTTATATAAACATGCCTAATTTTCTCTTCAATTGAACTGTGAAGCTTTCAATTACTAAAAATATACCACTTGATAGGGACCTGATACGCAATGCTATTATTTTTAAGCTGAATATTTATTTAATATTTATATTTATTTGTGATATTTCACGCTAAAGTGAGGATGAAAGTAATTTTAATGGATATAACACGCAATAAAATACGCTTCACGCTATTAAGTGTGACAGTTTCTCAGTAACCAAGTATGTTGCATGGTTTCAAGCTGTATTAAAGGAACACAAACCATGTATTTTTTTAATTATTGGTTTATCATCTTACAGATGCACAGCAAAGCATACAGAACATAAAATGTCCAGGTGACTGCGTTAATCTTTTCGCATCCTTCCTATGCGATCGAGTCTTGGATCAAGTCAAGTGCGACGACGATTATTCAAGATGTTGCGTGGCCGAAGACATGATTTTTGGTACCGAAGTGGTGACGTCGCCCCCGTTACCCGAAGAATTCGAAAATGCCACTACTACAACCCCGAGTACAACCACGTTGTCTACGTACCACGTCGAACCAACGTCACACCCATTCAGTCACAGCAAATTGGCATCTTGTCCGGGATCGTGTGTAGACAGACGTCACAGTGCCTCGTGCGAGAAAATCGCTAAAACTGTTTGCAGCCAAGAGGGCAAAGACTGCTGTTCTAAAAATGTCACCATTTCGGAAACGAAACCGGATTTATGCCCGGGGACTTGCGTTTCGGCTCTCTTTAGTCTGTTATGCGACCACGTGGCACACGAGTATTTCTGTGCAGACGGTGGCAAATGCTGTGTTCCTCCAACCACAACAACCACCCTCCCACCTATAAACCCATGTCCCGGAAACTGTATTCCCACTTTACTAAGTGGAATGTGCAACAGACCGTCACTGTTAATAGTGAAAACGACAGATTGCCCAGCAGGGACGATCTGTTGTTACACGCCTGTCGAACGGATCAAGCCTACAACTCCTCCATCAACTCTACCGACGACCCCGATTCCGAAAGTGAAACCGAACAAGGCAAACTTTCCCATTGAGTACATGTGTCCCGGTACATGTATCAACACCCTTCTTCGATTCACGTGTGTAAAAAATCACATAATATATAATCGATTCAACTGTAATACACCTGGAACAGTTTGTTGTGTTTCTATTTATGAGGTAAACAGGTTTGAGCAGATGTTCCGGCGACCTCATTCTCCTTCTCGAATCACCAATTATACAATTCATACAAACATAAAAGGTAATTTACAATTCTAATTACATTATAAAACAAAGTTGTCTTACATAATTTCTGCATGTTAATCAGTTTTTAAATTCGCATTCCTCTGCATAAATTCTGGCAGCTCCCAGCGTGCGGATACCAAACCCTTACATGTGTGGAATCAAAGGAACCGATAGAAGGCAGGCAAAGATTATAGGGGGCCTCGACTCTCTACCGGGAGAATGGTGCTGGCAGGTAATTAATTGTAATTTTAATTAAAATTTTCAAATTTTAAAACACTCCTCTCCTTTAAGGTTGCTCTCATAAATTCTCAAAATCAGTATCTATGTGGTGGAGCCTTAATTGGTACTCAGTGGGTTTTAACTGCAGCACATTGCATAACCAAGTAGGTTTTCACAATATCAATTAGCCTTCATTTATTTTTTATGATGTAACTTTAAACATGTTTCTGTACAGCATTGTGAGAAATGGAGATGCCCTGTTCATTAGGGCAGGTGAAAATGATCTGACACAACAGAAACAAAGAAAGTCAACATCCGAAACAAAGCGAGTCATCACTACTTACATCCATCACAATCACAACAGTCAGACATTAGATAACGATATCGCACTCTTGAAGTTACAGTTGCCGGTAGAACTAAACAAAAACATCTGCCTGATCTGCTTACCTGCTCGAGGAGTCACTCAGCAGGCCGGAAAATTATGCACCGTAACCGGTTACGGCTATCAAGGAGAAGGTAAGACCGAATATATCCATTTATAATTAACTAGTTTTAACACAAATAATTCATTTCAGCTGGCCCCATAGCACTTAAAGTCAGACAAGCACAACTGCCAATTATTGACGAAAGAGAATGTACAGTTCAAATTAATGCAGTTACAGAAAAGTTATTTGTTCTACCTGCTAGCAGCTTCTGTGCAGGTGGCAAAGAAGGTGAAGATGCCTGTCAGGTAATTTATTTACTTTCTGTAGTTACACAAACTAGACACGAGTGGTTTAAACAATTTAAACGCATTCAGGGAGACGGCGGAGGACCTTTAGTTTGCGAAGTGGACGGATTTTACGAGCTGACGGGAATCGTGTCGTGGGGTTTTGGCTGCGGCAGACAGGACGTGCCTGGAATTTATGTGAAAGTTTCTTCATTCATCGGCTGGATAAATCAGATCATCAGCGTCAATAATTTATAGTGAAAAAGTAATTTATCACTCTACCTCCAATACCAAAAATTAATTTTGATCATTTTCTAGTTTAATTATATCAGTGTTTTTACATAATTATTATTATTCAGGGTTGAAATAAGTTTTGTATAAATGTTAATAAATCACCAAATAAATCATTATATAACAAAATAATGTTTGGTTAATAGATACGAGCGCGCATATCTTTTGGACCGAGCATCCTTCATAAAAGAAAAATGTGTTTCTTAAGAAAAATTTATCTTTAAAAAAGCATTTTCAATTGTTATTGAGGAAATTAATACAATTTACTTCCTTTTACATGTTACAAAATATATAATGTCAATAAATAACATCAAATTTTATCTAGAAGATTGATTATCACCCAAACCAATTACTCACCTACTGAGATATTCACACTCTTCATATCTTCCTATTAATTTTAATAAATAATTAACAATTACCAACACAATAGATATACACAGCCACAATTATGCCCATTAGGTACAACCCATAATGTTGTTAATGGTACAGGGAAGAGAAGGAAAACAATACCTGAATTACTACTGCCATGTTAAATTATAGGAATATGGTTCAGACTTGAGTCAAATCTCCTGTACTACCTTAATGCTTGGCAATTTGGCTGGCTATTTTCTATTAAAACAATATATTTACAATTGAATTTATGATTTAGTTGGATTTGGGTAAGACGTGTGATTAGCCAATTTAAAAATTCATTGGTATATTTATTTACAAATAAATTTAAACAAACTGTTAATGTATCTTCAAGGCATGCTTCAGAGAAACTTTTATATTGCCAAATGCCAATCAGTCTTCATCTATGGTTATGGTTATACAAGTTTAATTTGAATTTATAGTTGCTGCAACTACCGCCTCTATTGCTGACTGGAATATAGCAACCCTTCAACTTCTCCTATATTTAAGGAACAGATAAGTCTGTGGAAACACAGGAATAAAGAGATGAGAAAACATTGTTACTCCTTTCTTCATTGATGGGTATATTCATTACCCATATAAACCAATGGAACTGAATATAAAAGCTGCAATGACGACGAAAGACCTTAAAGATGTGATAAAAAATGGCTTTTAGAACTTCTTTGACAAGTGGGTATGAAATTGTTGGAGCAATATGTGTGAAGGTTGTGCCGCAATTTGAAGGTGGTGCCGCAAAATACCTGTGCCGAACATCAGTTCATGTTTTTGGCTCTATTGTGTATATGCATACATATACAAAATATAGTCAAATATAAAACCTCTGGAGCAGGGATTCTAATCATTGCACTGGTTCCAATTTCTTTCCATGTGAATTTTATAGCTCCGGTCCCAATCAAACATTTAATTTTTAGGTGCAATTGTTCTCTTGACTGCATATATCAATATCAATATATAACTTTATCATTATTCTCAGATATATAAAACTATAATTTAAATACAAGATAATGTTCTCTATACAACAGAATTAAAGTAGTGAAGATCAAATTAAACCATAATTCAGAGAGAGAGAATTACTTACTTTTCGGTGGTCATATTTACAAACACGAAAGTTATAATAAAGTAGCTATTGCGTGTAAAATGAGTACAGTATTTCAAAGAAAAATTTTAATTGGTAAATCTATTTTATTTATTTTATTAATAATTACAGTATAAGCCATATATAAGTTACAGACATTTATAATTCCATAAAAGTTATCTAGAAAAAATACTTCTAATTGTTGAATTACTTTAAATATTGAGTCATATTTATCACTAATATTTATATATTTCTTTTTCAAAAATATATTTTAACATTTAGAAAGTGTAACATTAATATAAATATACATATAATCTTCAATAAATTATATATGTTAGAATTTGACATATATATTTTTGTACATTTATTAATATAGTGGTTAAAACTATAGATTAAAATTTAAAATATATGAAAATGTTACCGTTTACAAATATATACAAGCCTCAAATATCTTCAAAATATTTGTATCATCCTATAAAAGCAGGCAATTCGGTAAAACAAATTTGGATATTTTCATTCTCTTCTTCAGTTCTTTCTCTCTGTTCTTCATGTAAACTGTCATCTTCATAATGATGAAAATCTTGAGGAATGCTAAGAAGTTGTATAATATCATCATCCGTTTTATCATTCGACTCGACAAATAACTTTCGAAAGGCCATGCAATGCATGTGTCTCTGTTTTTCGTAAGCTATCCTCTGAAATCCAATATGTTCCAATGCCAATCTCCATTTTTTCATCATGGGAGCATTACAATGTTGTTTTTTAGAATCTGGAGTCACTATGAGCAATAATCCGTCATATTTCAAGAGTTTCCATGCTTTTTGACAAAACACAAATCTTTGTTTCGGTGCCGGTAAATATTCTAAAACTAACGAAAATACAACAACGTCAAACGTACACTCGCTAAGTTCTGTCAATGCCTCCGACTGCAACAAATTTGAGACTTTTGGTTGAGACGAAATTTTTAGCTGAAGAAAATCACATTGTAACACATTCTGAAAAATTTTAAAAAAACCAAGCATGGAATTTTTAATCAAATATTAAAATATTTTAATAATTATATTATACAAACCTCTACAGCAGGTGTGAGATCAATTGCTGTGCATTGATATTCAGGATAAACAGAAAATGGATTATAACAACTGCCGACATCTAATAGTTTTACCTTCCCAACAAGTGGCAAAATTCTGTAGAAAAGTAACAGAAATCCATGTCCAACATTTAAAATCTAAATTACATCTCATATACAACTTTATAAATTTAATTTAGTCATCATATTGTTGGAATAATAAATATACTCACATCTTTTTATTAATACAATTATTATCTGCTTTATCATTACACAAGTTTGATTTCTCCAATAACCTCTTTAGTTTCCCTCCACAAAAATAATCACTAAAAAATATTAAAATTATATTTTATTTTTATATTATTTATTAATTTAAAAAATTTATGTATATTTTTTCATACATGCAAGTCTGATGACACCAAGTTATCCTCGTATTCTTTTCTAACCAAGCAGTAGTTGCGAGTTGAAACATAGCTTTTGAATATTCTTTTCTCTTCTCAATATCGTTGAGATGAGTCATCCATACTGCATCGTGATTGCCAGAAGCTGTTTAATTAATGCATTTTATGAAATAACATTGGAATACATCAATTCTTTAAACTTAAAACAAAGCTTCTTGCTAATGTACTGTACACGACTAAAAAACTTTCAAATAAACTAGCTATTACTTCAGGGTCTTCCAAGATGAATGCTACCATTTTAAATTACCGTAATTATGTTATTATCCGAGAAGTATGTAACATATACCAATTGACAGAGTAACCTCCCAAGTTTCATCTCTTGTCTGCATTGAAATGTGTTGTCGTCTACCGCCTCTAGGAAGCACCATAAATAAAAATGGTGACTCTGCAGCAAAAAAAAAGCCATTTTGTGTTCAACAGTTTATAAAATCAGAATCAATCAGGAGCAAATTCTCTGGGCTTGCTTAGTATGTGCCACATTATTAAGAGAAAGTTTTGATTGTCAATATATTTTTTATGAGAATAAATATGCTAATACAGTAGAACCTCGAAAACTCGTCCCTCGATAACTTAGCACTCCGGATAACTGGTCCACACCTTGGCAGGGCGAAAAAATCCTTAGTTAATTAATTTTCATTATAGACAGCTTTATAAAAGTATAAAAGCTCTCATAAAGTATTTTTCTGAGGTCTGTCTTATCAGGTAAATTACTGTACACAGTGTATTCATTAATTTTCATTTTCATGTAGTGGCTCTATGCCTTCATAAAGGACGTACTTTTCCTTTGTTTAAGGGTATTTGGGCAGTTTATTCTCTGTTATATTCTTCTCAAGTAAACAATAACAAGTTACAGTACAGTATTTTCTGAGGAAATACTCGTACTTATTTTTTTTAACCCCATTCCCGATAACTCGGCATTTTCACAAACTCGGCCACCCTTCAGTCCACATTAGGTCGAGTTTTCGAGGTTCTACTGTAATAATTTATTCTAATGTGTAAACTCTTTTATCATTTGTGTTTCCTTTTACATTGGCATCGTGTGCAGGTTTTCAGTGGCAAACAAGTGCACATGCATAACATCATTCAAAGCATTTAACACAGCCAGATTGTATCGAAAGCTTGTGGTACCCAGTCAGCATACAGATATTGTATATAGAAGCAGATCTACATAGGGACTAACAGGACTTAAGCCCTGGGCACCCAATGTCAAGGGCCCACAAAAATTAAATTATTACCATAAATTTTTAATACTTTTTCATTATAATATAATATATTTCATATACAGTATACCTCGACTTACGTGAACCCGGAGTTACATGATTTTCAAATCTTGTCGATTTGTCTTCTGTTTGAGCGCCCCGCAACTCTTGATTACTCACTCCCCTCATACTATTGTTCAGCTTACATGTTTGGATGTGTCGTGCGGAATCGACACATAGCTAAAATTTATTTTGTGTTATTTATTTCTGTGTTTGTTATATCTACGAAGACTTGAGAGACCCTATGTGGTGATTTCTTGTAACCATGAACGAATCAAAAGATGAGATAAGGTTAACGAGAACATTTATTAGCTTACATTCATCCCACTTGAATTTTACACAAATTGCGAAATTATACACTGACTTACGCGGTCATCGCTCGGTCCCATCTATCGCGTAAGTTCGGGATATTACTGTATTTCATGTGTAGACATAATGGGCTTTATAATAGTCCATGCTTTTTTATTCACACCAAATAACATTTCTGCCTATTGTTTAGTGCTAGAGATAGGCCTGTTATTCTTATAACTTTCAGCATGCCCAAAAATTTTGGTCAGGATTTGCCCCTGGAATCAATCACCATTGCACAACATGAGTAATCTGTCAATATAAACTCCCCTGATGAAGACTCCTAAATGGAGCTAAAAATGTTTGTGTGTTTATTGAAATCATGTGCTAGAGTAAGTACTGAGGTTTAATTTGAAGAGAATTGCGGCTGCCGTGAGAGGAATGACGACAGATATGCCATAGTGAGCATAGGAAGAATTTGAACTTTGGTCAGATGTGTGCCTTATGACACAAGATGCACAAACTGAGAAATTGTAATGGGTAAATGTGAAATTTGGACAGTTTTCCAATGTATGTTACAACATTCTTGGATAATAATTAACATACAGTAATTATAATAATTTAAAACAGTAACATTCTTTTTGGAAGACTCTATAAGTTCACAATTCAAACTAGCAATAAATTATCATTGCTCATTACATAGAAGCATATAAATTTCTACTTGTTTTGGTATTATAGGTAATATAAAACTTAGATTTCATCATTATACCTGAGATTCCTAAATAATGAATGAATCGCACATACATTAAACTGGGCACTAAATTCAAATTAAGACCAAACACCTAACGTCTATTTTTTTTTTTAAATTATATTACAGGCAGTGCCGTCAAATGGCTATTAGATCTCCCCAAATTACACATATCCCCATAAAATAAATAAATAAAACTAAAACAGAATTATGAACCAGTGGTACGCTTAACTGGGGAAAACAAGAGGGGGAGGAAAGGTCATCCCAATCATTTGCAAAAAGAGAAAATTGCATGATTTTGAAAGACAAATATGTCAACTTTAATATTGTTGTAAATGTGTAAGAAAAATTTTAAAGTGTTTAGATTTTATAACAGCGAAAAACAAATAATTAGGTATGTACTTCATTGTAAATTTGTCATGTAAAATCCACATAAAAAATAAGGTTTTAAAATATTTTAGATAACATAAACTCTTAGATTTTCTTAGATTAAAGTGTGTTAAGCGCCAAGAAATTTTTGTAACAACCAGTAAACATAAGCGATGAAACCTGTGGTTTTTAATATCTTGATAACCTGTAATTAAAAAGGTATGCTTTTAGAAAAACAATACCTAATATGTTTGTTGTAATTTTATAGTGTTGAATTTTTGTTTTTAGTTGGCTGAAGAGGGGCAATAAATGCCCGAAACGTGTGTAATAACAACACGTATCAACTGAATAAAACTTGATGATGAGTATTGCCAAGTGCCTGAAGATAAATACGATAATTATTTGTGTTTGAATTACTACTAATAACTACAAGCACAGTTTCAAAAGTACCAGAATTATGAACACAAACATAAAGCCACAATAATTGTTAAAATTAACAAAATTTTATAAATGGAAATCTGATTTGCATAATCTTTTCAATTTTAAAAATTCAACATGCAAAAATCTTTTAAATTCTGTTAAATTACGCATTACCCAGTTAAGAAAAGATTGCTGCATTATAATAAGTAGTTTTCTGAATTAAATAAACATGATTTGTTTTGCATAGTTTTTGCTGGGATACAAAGATATAAAACTTTCAGATCCATAAAAGCATTAAAAACTATATAAAATAAGATTCTGTCAAACAAACCTTTAGTTTTGTTTGACAGAATCTTTGACGTATTATAAAATCAAAGTCAAAATACAGTAAATTGGCTACTTTGTTAAAAAGGAAATAAACTTTTGATAATGCTCTTTCAACTTTTAATACCAGAGATGATGAGACAGAAGTCCAAATTAATAATGCATTACCTACAACTAATTGAAAATTGACATAAAATATTGAATAAAGTATAGGTTTAGTAATTATAAATCAAGTTTCTCAAAAGAATACCTCTGTGAATGGCCAAACTTTTAACAATTCTATTAATATGGTCAAAAAAAGTTGCTTTATTATCAAAAATAATTTCTAGATCTGAAATTTTATCCACATAGTTAATAATCGAATTGCTTATGGTAAATGCATAGTTCAAAGGTTTTCATAAGAGAGTTATGGATTTAAACCTGTTGAATTATTATACTTCAGGGATGTAGTGTGGATTATAGCATCAGTGGTATAATATACAGTATACTAATATACACCGGATGTCCATTTTAATCAATATATCCACCAGTGGCCAATGGAGTTCCCTGAACACTGGAAGTTCAGTCGTGGGTTCGCGCCTCACTCAGATGGACTGGTGATGTGGAGTTTTCCGGGTTTTCTCCACGTATGTAACGCCTAAATAGGAGCTAGTTTCCCTTAAAAAGACCTCCCAGAAGCATCCCCTAGTCAGATCGCCCAAGTGTTGTATTGTCATAACTTAAAAAAACAAACAAACAGCAAATATCTCAAGAAGTTGGAATTCTACAAAAAATTTATAACAGACAAAATTTGTACTATATCAAGTGGATCACAAGATGTAATGGTTGATTATTTGCCTTACAAAGTGGTTGATGTTCTAATTTTATGAGAATATCATCAAGATTACAGGTAATCAGCTCAATTGTATCACGATTGCTATCCTGATAGCCAAATGCTGCTGATCTTTAACTGATGAAGCATGATGCTGAGTAAGAAGGAACAAATTCAAGTTGTTTTGATAGGAGATATGAAGTGTGTGTATATATATACACTCTTTCTGCATAGGCACTCAGATCTTTTAATCATATCCACTGTGGGCTAAGCCTACAGGTGGTGAGGGACAGGACCCTATCCAACCTATCCAGAATAAACCACCTCCCAAAAAATTCCTGAGGATTTTTTGACTGCTCGAATTCAATTCCAGATTTTCTAGAGTGGTAGGCTGATTAATGCTTTAACTACCTTGGCTATCTTGCCATCTATCAAATATATTTATTTAAATCATTCAGAATAAGAAAAATAAGTACTTAAATTAATATAACTTATTAAAATAACAATAGTGAATATAAAATTAATACTTTAATAGCACAAATTTATAATAATGCATATAATATACTCACTTTGCTGGTAACTTTTGCGGAGTCCCTCATGCACTCCTCTTATAGTCGCAACCAATTGATCTCTATCGTGCAGCATGACTAAATAGTAAATCAAATTACATAAAAAAATAAAATATTTTATCTACATATGACCTTATTAATGGGTGAATGAAAATGATTTTTGTTGAATATAAATATTAAAATTTATTTGAATAGGACCTATATATTTATAAAGCATAAAAACTGAACATTTTAATTATAAGGAAAACAAACTTTAAAAGATGAGGTTAGATTTAAATATCACAATAAAATAAAACAACATAATATTCTATACAGTAATACCTCGAGTTATGCTATCCCGACTTACGCAAACCCGGAGTTATGCGATTTTCAAACCTCGTCGATTTGTCTTTTGTTTGAGCGCCATGCAACTCTTGATTGCTCACTCCCCCACACTATTGTTCGGCTTACGTGTTCAGACGCGTCGCGCGGAATCGACACATAGCTATAATTTATTTTGTGTTATTTATTTCTGTGTTTGTTATATCTACAGAGACTTGAGAGACTCTATGTGGTGATTTCTTGTAACCGTGAACGAATCAAAAGACGAGATAAGATTAACGAGAACATTTATTAGCTTACATACATCCGACTTGGATTTTACACAAATTGCGAAATTATACCCCGACTTACGCGAATTCGACTTACGCGGTTATCGCTCGGTCCCACCTATCGCGCAAGTTCGGGGTATTACTGTATTTATACAAAAACAACTGTGATTACATAATTTATGTATGTATATTCTCCAGCATTATTACTCCCAATATCTGTGGATTCTCTACTTTTCCATCTGATTTAGCTTAATTTTAGTTGGATAACCTTTTGCACTAATCCTCCATATATTAATCCAGCAATTTTATGTCATCTTTAACCAGAATACTGTCTGGATCCCTCAATGCTTAATTTCAATGATCTAACCAGAACTTTCAGAAAAAGCTAGCCATTGCCTTCAATATTTCATGTAAATAGCATAAAACAATGTCAAAAATAACAAATGTAAATTATACTTCTATTAAAATAAAGTATTTTTGTATTAAATTACAAATTAAATGAAGTAAAAAACTATCTCGGAAATAAATTAAAATATATTTTCTCATTAAAAAAATCAGATTCAAAAATTTTAATTTTAGCAATGCAGAATGTGATTCTACAAGATTTGGATTCATATTCATCAGATTAATATGGATAAAAACAAATTCACAAAATTTAAATACTTAGAATGATGAACTAGTCACTGTGGTTACTAAGTTAAACTAATCAATACAACTTTAACAGTCGCTGAAGTTTAAAGCATTTCAATCTGTTTAATGGGCCATCTTCAGTTGCAGACAGTTGAAACTTGAATGGAGTGAATAGCCTATTCCACTTTCAACTGTCTGTACCTGATTAATTCAGTTCCAAATACTTAAATCGGTAAGTTTAAATCCAATTTAATATACAAAACTGTCAAATGATTTTGACCATCTCATCCTCAGAACTTCATTTTGTTTACTTAACTTTTCATTTTCTCCACATAAAGCATATTGTAAATAAAATCTTGATAATTCGGAGTAGGATTAATGTCTAATTTTGATACAACAAAAGTTTAATGAGGTATGATAACAGGAGCTTTTGCTGTATATCAAGATTATAAACTTGAAAATTAAAAAAATTTATGAGCAAATGATTGATTTAAACTCATTTTTACTCCAAAATTATATTTTACAATTTAAATTTCTAACTTAAGATTGTAAAATGTATTTTGTTAGCGAAAGTTATCATTTTTCCAATGATTAATTCATATCATTTAATATTATTTATGTCAAATGACAAGAAATGACATTCAATAACAAACAGCAGGTCATCTGTAATCATTTAATTTGCATAAGAGAACTTTAAAATGGTGGAAATGCAATGAATTAGTCAAATAGCTTTAAAATGTTTGCACAGTTTTTAATTCTGAGTACATGATGTAGACTGGCATCCTGATATTATATCATCAATTGACGACAGGTGATATCATTGCTTATTATCTCAAAATAATTAAGTAATATTTTTATAATGTCATAATAGCTGCACAATCTGAATACTGTATAATTTTAAGTATATATAAGCTACATTTATAGCAATTATTCTCATCCTCATACCTTATGCACATCTCCTATCCCTCCTCCTCATTCTCATCTCCCATCTCTCCTTCTCACCCTCATCATCTCCCATTCCTCCTCCTCCTTATCCTCATCATCTCCCATTCCTCCTCATCCTCATCATCTCCCATTCCTCCTCCTCCTCCTTATCCTCATCATCTCCCATCCCTCCTCCTCCTTATCCTCATCATCTCGCATCTCTCTTCCTCCTCATCCTCATCCCCATCATCCACCTGTTACATAGCCTATCGAGCATATACTCACCTATAATGTTAATAATGCTTACACATTTTCAAATATTTTATTCAAATTCTCTTTTTAATCTGGATTTATTCTGTAAGCTAACAAAATTTTATAATTTTAATAACAAATATAACATTTACTAATCATCACACACGAGAAATATCCATGTTGCCGTTTCACTCTTCCAGGTGGCGCTAAATGAATTTAAAAAAAAAAATTTGTCCAGAAAAATTTATTTATCGACCTTTAAGCATTTTAAAGGTAAGAATTTGTATTGCATTTAAATAAGAAAGATTACTATATAGAAACAAACATTATTATTAACACTTACTTTTTTAAATAACTAGAAATTTCGCGAAATTAACGACATAATAAGTAGCGCCCTCTCTTGTAAATTGTTCTACATTTATAAAAATGTTTTTTTGATTGCAATTTAAACTCGTTTTATTCGATATTTTATTGTTATAGGTTAATTTATGTTCTATTTTATTACTAGAAATAATTTACAATAATTTATATGGAACTTGCTATATAAGCCTCAAATATCTTCAAAATATTTGTATCATCCTATAAAAGCAGGCAATTCGGTAAAACAAATTTGGATATTTTCATTCTCTTCTTCAGTTCTTTCTCTCTGTTCTTCATGTAAACTGTCATCTTCATAATGATGAAAATCTTGAGGAATGCTAAGAAGTTGTATAATATCATCATCCGTTTTATCATTCGACTCGACAAATAACTTTCGAAAGGCCATGCAATGCATGTGTCTCTGTTTTTCGTAAGCTATCCTCTGAAATCCAATATGTTCCAATGCCAATCTCCATTTTTTCATCATGGGAGCATTACAATGTTGTTTTTTAGAATCTGGAGTCACTATGAGCAATAATCCGTCATATTTCAAGAGTTTCCATGCTTTTTGACAAAACACAAATCTTTGTTTCGGTGCCGGTAAATATTCTAAAACTAACGAAAATACAACAACGTCAAACGTACACTCGCTAAGTTCTGTCAATGCCTCCGACTGCAACAAATTTGAGACTTTTGGTTGAGACGAAATTTTTAGCTGAAGAAAATCACATTGTAACACATTCTGAAAAATTTTAAAAAAACCAAGCATGGAATTTTTAATCAAATATTAAAATATTTTAATAATTATATTATACAAACCTCTACAGCAGGTGTGAGATCAATTGCTGTGCATTGATATTCAGGATAAACAGAAAATGGATTATAACAACTGCCGACATCTAATAGTTTTACCTTCCCAACAAGTGGCAAAATTCTGTAGAAAAGTAACAGAAATCCATGTCCAACATTTAAAATCTAAATTACATCTCATATACAACTTTATAAATTTAATTTAGTCATCATATTGTTGGAATAATAAATATACTCACATCTTTTTATTAATACAATTATTATCTGCTTTATCATTACACAAGTTTGATTTCTCCAATAACCTCTTTAGTTTCCCTCCACAAAAATAATCACTAAAAAATATTAAAATTATATTTTATTTTTATATTATTTATTAATTTAAAAAATTTATGTATATTTTTTCATACATGCAAGTCTGATGACACCAAGTTATCCTCGTATTCTTTTCTAACCAAGCAGTAGTTGCGAGTTGAAACATAGCTTTCGAATATTCTTTTCTCTTCTCAATATCGTTGAGATGAGTCATCCATACTGCATCGTGATTGCCAGAAGCTGTTTAATTAATGCATTTTATGAAATAACATTGGAATACATCAATTCTTTAAACTTAAAACAAAGCTTCTTGCTAATGTACTGTACACGACTAAAAAACTTTCAAATAAACTAGCTATTACTTCAGGGTCTTCCAAGATGAATGCTACCATTTTAAATTACCGTAATTATGTTATTATCCGAGAAGTATGTAACATATACCAATTGACAGAGTAACCTCCCAAGTTTCATCTCTTGTCTGCATTGAAATGTGTTGTCGTCTACCGCCTCTAGGAAGCACCATAAATAAAAATGGTGACTCTGCAGCAAAAAAAAAGCCATTTTGTGTTCAACAGTTTATAAAATCAGAATCAATCAGGAGCAAATTCTCTGGGCTTGCTTAGTATGTGCCACATTATTAAGAGAAAGTTTTGATTGTCAATATATTTTTTATGAGAATAAATATGCTAATACAGTAGAACCTCGAAAACTCGTCCCTCGATAACTTAGCACTCCGGATAACTGGTCCACACCTTGGCAGGGCGAAAAAATCCTTAGTTAATTAATTTTCATTATAGACAGCTTTATAAAAGTATAAAAGCTCTCATAAAGTATTTTTCTGAGGTCTGTCTTATCAGGTAAATTACTGTACACAGTGTATTCATTAATTTTCATTTTCATGTAGTGGCTCTATGCCTTCATAAAGGACGTACTTTTCCTTTGTTTAAGGGTATTTGGGCAGTTTATTCTCTGTTATATTCTTCTCAAGTAAACAATAACAAGTTACAGTACAGTATTTTCTGAGGAAATACTCGTACTTATTTTTTTTAACCCCATTCCG